ATCGCGTGCTCGTCGTTCGTTCGCGGGACGCTATCCGAGGTTCGCGGCGCGAGATCGACGGACGTTCGTAAACTAATTTAAGATACGCGTCGATCCATCGAATTCGCGATTTATGGCGTTCGAGGTGATCCTAAATTTCAGGACAGAAACACGATGAATTGAATAAGAATTGAATAAGATATAAAAGCGGCAAAAAAAAAAATAAGTACAAAAATGCAACTGAACAATAAATATTTCAATCCAAAACAGGTATTTGCTTACGCTATAGAATTTAACAGGGAAAAGTCTTCATTTATTTTACACTTTAATTATGCTTGCGTTTTAATTAATTCTTACAATTATTATCTTATTGTACATTATTATAAAGTTACGTCTTCCTCTTCGTCTTATTTTTATATATACTTCATCGTATCTCCGTCCTAAATCTGAATCGAGAAACCGCGGGAATCCGTTTGCATCTAGATAAGTATACGTGCATCCTAGATTTGGAGTATCGATTTTCATTTGGCAAGCGACCCGTGTAACCGACAATCTTCGCTTAGTTGATGCAAATGAATTTACGCGGTGGATTGGGCGCCTCGAATTGTGGTACTCGATTCTCGGACATGGTGCATTCTGACGTCTGGGATTTTGCATGCGCGAGCACGTCGCTTCCCAGAATTCGGAATATATTAATTTACGGGCATCGAATTCGTCTCAGCATTACAATCACGTTATGTAAAAATAAATTCAAAGCTGATCCTCACAGATTATACTATTATCATATTATTATTTTTTTCCTTAGAGCTAAGAATATCTTTTTTGTTTAGTTAAGTCTCATTTATTTCATAGCAAGATGCACACTACTTCGGTTGTAGCAAAAACTTTGTTTGGATAAAATAGTTGTATTTTTTTGTTACAATAGCCGTTACCTTCGTATTTATATATTTATATATGTATATTATTTATATTTATATTTATATATATATATATGTGTATCTATATCGTTATGGTATCTATTAGGGTAGGATGTATTTCTTGATATTCGCTAATAGTATTGTTAGACTTTAAAAAGCTTAGATTGTAATGATATTATCAATTGGTGCTTGCATAGAAGCATCTCTCTCCATTATACGTGTCTTATAATGTATGTGTGTGCGTGTACGTGTGTGTTGTCTTCGTATATATGTATATATGCACGTGAAAGGAGATTCGCGCGATGCGCGCGCGTGTCTATAAATACTCATAGCGATCTGGCACCATCTTTTTTCTAAATCTCTATCTTCGGGCGTCCACTCTGCGTCGTGTCGGTTTGCGATTTCTTTCAAATGGATTTCGACGAGCTTGTCGCTCTAATCTCGTTCCTATAACATCTCTCTATACCTTTCTGTTTGAAATGTGCACGCCCCCACGAGAAGTGAAGAACACGTTCAAATAATTCCACGGGAGAATTGAATCATCCGCGAGCTACGTCTCACATGAGATATTCAAAAGCAAAAAACATACCGATAAAACTGGACGTCCTAAGCAGCGTATCGAAAATCGATGCGGAACAAAGAACATATCCCTCTCGAATCCAGCTGCCACGAGACGTGGTAAGGATTTTCCCTACGATCCATTATCTAATTTCCACGTGTCTCTCATCGATTGTGAGATGATGTAATTGTAGAACGAACGCGATCCAGTTGAAAGAAAACCGTGGCAAGTTCGCTGTTTGAGAACGAGCATACCCTACTCTCGTGTGATTACGGTTTCGATGGAGAATCACTCGGAAGGGATGGAAACCCTCCAACACTCAATCTACACGCTCGGACCGACGTACCATATATCTATTCATGGACAAGGAGAATCGTAGACGAACGTCTAATCCATTCCGATCCGATCCATTCATCTCGTAACCGTATTTCGCGCACGTACGTCACACGAACTCCACGTGCACGTGTACCACAGAGCCCTGACGATCATCCGTGAGAAGCGAAATGTCCGCTCACGGAGGCGATAATCTCATCCTGCAAGCGCGCACAGTTTGGCACTGACCGGCACGCAGGCTGATCGCGCTTTCTAATTACGTTTACACGCTTGTATACGAAGGATTTATAGACGCCTCCATGTGTGCACATATGTGGTTTCAACACGGCAACTACCCGGATTAATTCGGATTCGGAACAGCCAAAATAATCACGAGAAGAACAGAATACCGCGCGATTTTGTTACAAAAGACGCAGCGCACTTGACATTTTCTTCATATCATGTTTTTCGAATCTAAATTAAGATCTCTGAGACGTGTGCTATCTCGGCACAATTTTTGTTAATGAGATTTTGAACGCTCTTAAATTCAGTAATGTATTATTGTAGTAAGCCAGTCTACAAAAAATCAAGTACTTTGAGTAAAAAATTATTTTGTTATAAAAGATATAGTTATTTTATAGTTACTTATAGTGAAACGAAATCCTTCGTATTATCTCCTACTCTTATATTTTGTATTATATGTTTTATTTTATTCTTTCTTTTAAGAATGCTATCAAAAATTTTAAAGAAGAGAGATTTGAACAATTAACACGAGACTATAGCTGCTCATTTCCACTTCGCATCCGTGCACGAGTGGAGTGTGCGGCGCGACAAAGATTTATCTACGATCTCGCGATAATATCACGATGAACTTTCGCGCATCCTATAAATATCCGCGAGTCTCCTGTTGTTAAGTCAACTACGCCCGACGTCGTTAATAGCTTCCCCCTTTTTCATATATATATATATATGTATATATTATATAAATTTAACCTTCTAAAAATGACAAGAATATATGTGTATGTTTACGTTACTGTAGTAGTGTATAAGTTATGTATATGTACCATAAATAATCATTATCGTTATTATTCCTTCTTTGTCATTTTAGCGTTATTTTGTTTATCATTATCTATATATATGTATATTAATATTGTATTATATCGTCAATTTGTAAGCACATATCCTTGTTCCAAGCGCTTCTCTCTTCGTCGTACAATTAGCCTCCTTACGTACACACGTGTGCACGCACGATTACATGCGCACACGTGCGTGAGCCACGTACACTGGGTGTCCGTTAATTGCGCACGTGTGTCGCACGAACAACAAATTCACGAAGCGAATTATAAAACGAGAAGATTTTTGCTCACCTAAAAATGTAGGTACATATGTGTGTACACACGCATACACATACATATATATGATATTTATGTATGTGTATGTGTGTGTGTGTGTGTGTATGTATGTATGTACGTACGTACGTGTGTATGTCTATAAGTGTGTGTGTGTGTGTGTGTGTATCTAATGAAATATATGCAAACATAAATTGCTGTGGCAACGCGCCGGACCAAGCAATTCCTCGTCTCACTAAACTCGTCATAATTTATCATACGTTGATTTCGCTAAAACTAGAATAATTTACTAATTGTAAGTTCCTATAAGTTCTTTTCGATACATATATACGCATGTACATACGTCACGTACGTAAATGTGTGTGTATGCGTACGCATATATATATATGTATACATAATATTATATATATGTATATATATATATACTGTACATATATATAATATTTAATATTTATCATGTATATATGTATATATATATGTGTGTATATGTATATGTGTTGGTACTTTGGATGATTCTTTCCACTAGATCAGAGTTTTCCCTCTCCGCTCCATCGCTCGCCTACCCTATCACCTACCCTATGCGTATTTTATATATTCTGTGTTTCATCCCCTATTCCTCCCATCTTCCCCTCCCTCGCTCCTCCTTTCTTCTGTTCTTTGGCTTTCTTTCGCGAACTCGCTCGAGACTCTCTGCATATCCGACCGAGCATCGCACGCGAAATGTTCAATGTTTTGTCTATTTCAGTCACAGGAATTCCGCATGAACACACATGATTGATCGATTGGGCATACCGAACTTGCATCCGGCAGCACGCGGTCCTCTTTTCTCAAAAAGATATACATACGTTCAAATCTATCATTTTTAGAGTCCCGGCCAACGTCGAATAAAGCGTACAGACCGGTATTCATAGTCGATTCTTATGTTTAGGATTGTCTTAAGTGCAGTCTTAAAATATCATGAACCAATTAAACAGCCGTGTTATGTTATCTTAAAACATAACTTAAGACGGTCTTAAAATAAGAATCAACCGGCCATAGCCAATGAAATCATTGCACGATAATCAGACCTTACAATACAGTCTAAACTCAATTCTTTTTATACTTAAGAAATAAAATCAAACGTGTAAAAAATATTACTCCGCAACACTATTTTCGTATCGCAGTCTAAAGAAGGACGAGCGAAAGATAAGCGATTCTAAAAGATAAATATTGCATTTTACGTAACGTTACTATCCATATATAATTTTCTTTGGTTTTCTTTGTTTCTCCCTATTTTTTTCTTTAACAACAACAAAAGGTAGCGTCGTTACTAATAAAAACTTAAAGAGGACTATCATTGGCGACATCGTCATCATCTGGACAATCACAGCCTGGCTGACATTTCTCGGGCGATGCTTAACCGATCAGGCAAAGTCGATCGTCGATCCATAAATCGGACCGAGCCGCGGGATTGATGGCGAGACGGGCGGGGCAATCGCGCGCCCTCACACGCGATTCTTCTCTCGATGTTCACGCAGGAACCACAACGGAGTAGATTATACTTTCGGCCGGAAACTCGCGCATTACTTACTTAGCGATAATTACAATGATAATCACCATAACTATATTAGTAATAAGAGCTATTAATCGCGGAGGACGAGCACCGTGCGGACGCGCGCGAGTAGGAAAAGACTTTCTCGCTTCCTCCTCGACGCGTAGCACGACGCGCGCAAACTCCTCTTCACGCACACTCTCTTTCTCTCTCTTTCACTCTCTCACTCCTCTATCTGCAGTATATAAAATCTACAGCGCGTCATACGTGTTTAAACCTTAAACGTTAAGGAGAACCCGATATCCGGCTGGGATGTCGGACCGGCGCTGAGCCCATGTTCGCTGTTGTTTCTCTTTTTTTTTTGTATTTTTTGTCTTTTTCTTTTTTTCAAAGTTTTCAGACGCGTTTCGTCAGACGAGCACCCTGTATAACGTATGATTGACATTTGTCTTTTTGGGAGAGAGATATCGGACCTCGTCCGCGTCTTCGGGACGAGCCTGCGTTTTATCCTACTTTCATCAGTCGCGCGGGGATTATTTATCCGTCTCGTCGTCGTCGTCGCGTGGGGTCTTCATCGCGACGATTAAATCGTTCGTTGCGTACGAGTAGAGAAGATTCGCCAGCCTCTCGTACTACGGCGATCGTCGGAGCTGTTCTGTCCGGCCGACGGACACGACGATCCGGCCTCGTCGAGGGTCCTCGTCGAGGATCAATCTGACCGGATGTACGAGTTGGTCAAATTTTCCTCTGGCATCTTTTCCGCGCTTTGCATTCGTCGGACTGTCACAACGAACACGACGAGACTCCTATGGGGCGTTTTTTTTCGACGGGATATTTCGTGATTTAGCTATTGTCGGTTTGGAGCTGGACGATCGTCGTGGCGCGATGTCGTGACTCGCGCGGGTAACTATAACGGTGTCGCCATGTATCCGAACGACGTGATCGGTTTTAATATTTCCAGTGCTTCTGGCAGATCTCTCCGAATCCTCGAAATGTTCGCGACAGGTTTCGCTGCACGCTCAATGTCCATTCGCGCCCTCGTCCTCGAGTTCGAACGTAATCTCTCACCTGGCAGTAGGGATCAGAGGCTAGACTCGCGGAGGACAGAAAGAAACATGCAGATTTGTAGTGTGGGATTGGACGAAAAGGAGACAGGGGAAAGCCGATGTTGCTTATTGATGAATTCCAATTATCTGTACATCTGGGAAACGTCGTCTCAGCGTGTCTCGTCCTCTTCTTTCTTCAGCTCTTCTACTCGGACTGGGTTCAGCGCAGAACATCCTTCATCGCATACGTTTCAGCCTCTTCGCCGCTGCCGCCGCACGAACTTCAACGACGTTGAAGCCGTTCCTACTGACTTCTAAATTTTTACCCTCTAATGAATTAACTAGCTAGTATACTAAGTTGTTACGGCGGAGAGCGTTGTAACGGTGATTCAACTTATCACTCCTGATCGTCGAGCGTCCATCGAGTTCACGTTCTCGGACGATATCTGCAATTCAAAGCGATCGATATTGTGTAATTTCTGAGATACGAATGCATAATAAAATTATTTATCGCATGTTTACCAATTAATAATGCCAATACTTAAAGAATTATAAATAGACTTTACGTCGATATTGCTATTTTAAAATTAATAATTTTATCGCAGCTATAATATAAAAGAAAAATGTTTCACCGACACTCTTTGTATTACGAATACAAAAAAAAATGGTTTTTTTTCGCTAGAAGAAACTTACTCTGTTAGTTACGACATAGGGCGCGACTCGTCCAGATTTTCTAGGCTAGGACGTGGGTTAGTATGGCCGGCTGGCGTCCTTGGGCCTCTTCAATTGGACTTTTAATCGTTTCATCCCTATTTGGAAGCCGTTCATCGCTTGGATTGCTGCATGCGCACTCGCTGGATTATCGAACGACACGAAACCTGAAAATATCGAACGTTGAATCCTGCAGTGTGTAACAAATTTTTCAGCCCTCATAAAAATCTTCTTTTGATATGAAAATGTAATCTTCATTTATTGATGTATATAATCGCTAGAAAGTATATGCCAAATATAATTTATATGACAAAGGATTGATTATGAATAGAGATGCAGTAACACAAAATAGTAATTCAAATTTATCATAATGACATTCATAATCATATAATCACAAATATAGGAAAATTTATTTATAATATAAATATACGAAAAGGAATAAAGTATAGTTTTAGCAATCTTTTAAATAATTATTATATTTTGAGAAAAGTATTTGGCAATTAAACAACAATCTAGGCAAATTAGATCTTCCGTGAAGAATAAAAGTTTTTGTTCATGGGCTGGATATTATCCAAAATTGGAAGAGCAGCTACACGACAACGAGGACCTTCAGAGGGACCGTTTTCCTAAAAAATCATCACGACTTTCTCGGTTTAAGTCAATTTTTATCATTAACGTCGATCCCATTTCAGTTCCGACATCATAGTGATCTAAACCGCGAGTCCCTTCATCTTCCGCCCACCCATGATTCTTTGCTCCACAATTACTTTTATTTCTCCTGATTATTTCATTGCATAATATGATACATTTAAAAAAATTATATAAAAGAAAATTTTATCTTAATGGTGGTTACAATTATACAGCGAATTTTCGGTAGACACTGTTACGTCAAAGAGTTTTTTCATTAAATTGATCGCGGCGAGGAAAATGCCTTTAAAGGAATATAAACTTTCACATAATTTTTCCCACTGCGGGCATAATTATGACGCGTCGTTGAGAGCCTTATACTTTTTTTTTTGGGAGGAAATGTGAGTGTCTGAAATAAGAGACAAAATACACGGACGCAAACGTTTGAATCGCATGTCGACAAATGCGAAGATAGACCAAGAACCGAACGAACGCGAATGGAATCGTCCAATTATCTGTATCCTCATACTCTCGGATACGATTAATCAAAGGAACGCCAGCGGCTTTTATCTGCATTCTCTGTTTCGGTCCTCTCTGCATAGTCCTCTCTAAAAAAAGAACTGCGCAGTTTGATTCCGGTTCCATTGAAACGGCATTCATATTCAGTTTGTCCGCTAATACGAACGAGACGAATTAAATTTCCATGATTAATCCACCACTCTCTTTGATTGGAAACGTGTAAAGTCATTTAGAGCACTGTAGTATGTGACTGATCGAAAGTCATAATAATAATCACAGACATATCCATGTACGTCGTGATTATTATTTTTATGTTCAGTTATACGATTCGAAGTAAAAATATATCGGAAAATTTTTGTGAAACTGATATTAGACCTTCAATTATATTTTTGCTTTTTTCTTAGCTTTCATTAAAAATAAAAAAAAATTTTAATCGTATAATTGTACAATGTAAAAAAACGAGAGATATTAAAAATTTAGATATGATTTCATATTTACTTCCGTTGCTTGTGTTGACATTCTTCGTCCTACCTTGTATAATGGTTGTAAAGATCGAGTCAGATGAACGCATCTTTCGTTGTTGTTCTGAAATTTGTCCGTAGTTACCGTCGCACTTACCAAAGCATTTACTCTGGTTGGTTGCCCGGTCGATGAAAACTTTGGATGAGATGACGTTGCCAAACGGGAGGAACATCTGCATGAGCTCGCCGTCACCAAACTCCTGGGGCAGGTGGTAGATGAACAGGTTGCAGCCCTCGGGTCCTGAGATAGAGCATCCTACCATATAAATCAGAGCACATCTAAACATCTAAACTTGAAGTATAATACTCAAGTTAGAATGTTAGTTCTGGATGAGTTTTGTTCTTCTCAAATATAAATGATTCCACGCGAGAGCTTCAACCCGTTAGCGAGGTCGCCATTGGGTACTGCTTTTCTTTTTGATTACTGTTTTTCTTGCCGAAGTCGTCTTTCTTTTTCTTTGATGAATGAAGATGAATCTGCAGCAGACTCTTGACGACAATACCGATTTTTCTTGTCCGTTCGAGTGCGAAATGATGATGACGTACAACATGATTTTGTCACCCACGAGTGATGCGAAATGACGTGAGCAAATGACAGAAAATGATATGAAAATGACCGAATGTTAACAGCAAAACGATTAGAAAGTCATGAGCATTGTTTCACTCATGATTATCAATAGAAATTTCCCGGTTCAAATAACGTTGAGTATTTATACTTTCAAATATACACACACAACACTGGGATTTACAACACAATGACAAATGAGGTGATGGATGCTGAAATGAGTGAATGGATATGGATGGTGACAATGATAGTGACGACACACTGATTACGATGGTGCGATATTCCCGTATTTTTGCCAGACACGATAATCCGTCGCTCTACTTTTTTTTTAAATAATTATTCTAAATAATATAAATTTGCCATTATTCTGCGCAAAATCTCCCTTATGCACACATTTTTTCTTATTCAAATTATATTACAAATTAATTATTGTGAATAAAATGAATACAAATGTTAATGATACATGAATACAGTATATTTATTATAAAAGGTCATGTGTCACACGACCTAAGTTTTAAAATTACATTTATAATTTTACATTCTGTACTTTCATATCTTGTTCGTAGTTTTATGCATAATTGATTGTCCTATGATCGCTTAAGTAGGTCTCTTTTTCGACTTCCGGTGTTAAAATGTCAAAGACATCGAAGTTTAATTTAGGCCGGTGAAGAAGATCCCGAAAGGCGGGAAGACTACCCGAACACAACGGCAGTCCAAATAAGGATTTAGCTAATTTCACTGAACTTTATAACTCCGACGTCAATTAGCGGCGATTATGACCGTGGAAACTTCTGCTCTCTTGGCCAGAGCTTCTCCCGAAAGACGCATTTAAGTAATGAGATGGCTGCTACTCAACTTTTAGGGTGCTACTCATCGCGACCTGTTCGCCTCTACCCAAAAGATCTTTTGCGGAAAGATTCCTCCGGGAATCTCCGTTGGAATATGCTAGTCGAATCATCGCAGAGCATAATTGTCTATTTTCAACCCAATTACGACTTCCGGTATGTCGCTGTTCAACGATAATATCGTATGACTCGTTGAATTTGCCGGTCGATAAGATTATCATCGCAAATTCCGGCAAAGTTTAAGAATTAATGCGACACAAAATTTTACGACGGTTTTACGAGGATATTTTCATCTGATTCGGAAGTGATTTTCATCGATTGTCCGAGAGTAAAACTTTAATTGCAGTTGTCGCAAATAGCGCACCGCGATCAACATTTGCAAAAGTTCGAGTCACGAAACTTAATTCACAAAAGGATAAAACTTTCCTATCCTCGAGCATTACTCTATATGCATTTCTGATAGATGTGTAATTCGTACTATCAAAATTTGTTAAGTAATTTGTTCGCCGGATTGGAAAGTATCATATAATGGTCAATTAAAGAAAGAGCGATATTTAAAAACACATTGTCGATTTAATACAAACTTTCCCGTGCAATTATAAATTAATATTGTTGGGTACTTAGTGTCTCGAGAAATCACAAATCTGTTCTGCGGTTTACGCAAAGAGTGACAAACTCTCCCTCTCTTACGCGGAACGACTTCGTCCTGGTAATAACTCGATCGTGGCTGTCACGCGAAACCCAAATTAGCACGAGTGTCGACGGGTTTCCGGTTCCGACTAGGGAGAGCACGGAGGGGAATTGCGGTGGACGACGAAATCACGAAGAACGAGCCATAAATTAAAGCCCGTCGTCGTGCCGCGCGCGCGATCGTTGATCCTGAAATTGGTTTTCGCCTCTCTAATTGGCACACACGCGGTACGTGCACGCGAATTTAATGAGAACGACTACCTTGTCTACTTCTATGTCTACTTCTGTCGAAAAGTAATAGCGGAACGCGTTCCGTAAAATATCAAAGGATACCTGAAATTTGCAAATCTTCAATTCTATTGTATCATATAATCAAATATATCTGCTAAATTCAACAGTGTATAGTTTTAACGTAACTGAAATATCATGCAACTTTGTGCATCTATTTTTTGAAAATATATACACAAAATTTATATGCAGAAGAATAATTTTTTTAACAATCTAAATATTACTTTTATTTTTAAAGTTACACGAATTTGAGTTTTTTTATGCAAAGTCGAAATTGTTTTGCTTATATGACTAAACTGTGTATAACGATCATACATTTATTTTCGCAAGTGTTGCCGATCGCGAAACGGATTCGTGTCGATTTCTTGTACAGATTACAAAATCTCGCAATGCACGTATCACCGTCTCGTAGCGAAGCAACAACCAACATTGGTCGACAGCGCAACACCGAGAACAGCCACTGACATCGAGTGCAACGGCGAAACACCGAATTAACGACGAACATCCGAGATACGTTGACGTAAAGAAAAAAAAAATAGATAAAGGAAGGAAAAGGAGAGCTATCCGCATAACGTTAAAAATATTATGACAGTCATGGTCAGAGAGAAGAAATGTATATACGAACACCGAAAAAAACATCGTGTAAGACGTAGAACACCCAGAACAACGATCAAGGAGCTTAAAGTAACACGGAGCAAGGGTAAACTCTCGAAGCGACAGTCAATAATAGATCGATACCACTGTCATGCAATGATGACAATAACGTCGATTCCCCTTCAGCTCCCTTGGGTTCCGTCCGATATTGCGGCACGCCTAACGACTTTGACATCTAACATAAGTTTCTCCAAAAGATAAAGTGTCTGCACACACACGCTTTCTTTATATTTTTACAAAACTTGTATCTAACATAAAAGTTTCCAGGAAGTCAGCAATATGATAAACGTTGCTCTCTTTTGGAAAAAAAAAAAACTTTAGGAATTATTTGCGTTTTTTGACAGCGTATTTTACACTTACACACAGAAAAATGAGAACAAATATGAAATATTTGTCATTTCAATATAGATTATTCAAATATATATATATATATAAACAAACAGATGTGAAATATATACATCATACGATATATAATACAACTTTTTAATAATAAAACAATTAATATTTTAAATTGTTGCTTGACAAAAAGCGAATAGAGTGTCATAGGTGATTTTATCTCGTAGAATTTATCCCGTCGGAAAATAAAGTTATTAATAATTTTTTTTTTATCCCCGGGAAATGAGAGAAACGCGTTGATAAACACGCGAGATATTCGTCATCACGTACGGGAAATAAATTCGATTAGAGATTTCTCTTACTCTCATCCCGTATATACCGCTTACGATTTAATCGCGATGGGAAAATGTCAGAACGCATCGATGAGACGAAAAGATCAGGCGGAATGAAAATGGGAACGGGTGAGACGAGCGGGAGGGGAGGCGGACATAGTGGTCGGAGCAGAGGGTTGAGGCCGGATAAAACGGAGGCGGGGTAGCGCTGTCGCGGTAAACTTTCCATTATCCTGCGATGTAACAACGGATCGCCGGCGGGCGTAGCGGCAAAGTAATTAAAACTTTCGTTTTATTTGCATTATCTCATTGCGAGGCGTCGTATATTCTAATAATGGCGAGTTGTTAATTGCAATTAGGCGTTGGCTCGCTCAACCCTCTTCTAACCCCGGACTTGCCTGGTCGACTTTTTCCCTACCGTCGGCTCTCCTTCAGTAACCTTTCCGCAAAAGATGGCATAGTAAATGACTAGTTCGCGCCGATATATTTAAGAGGCGAGACTGTCTCTTTGACCGATCGCGTTCTTTTATTCCGACTGGTGGTTTTCTAAGTAATCGCACTTTCATACAATTTCGTCCTATGGAAATTAGTTAAACTGTCAAATTGAAACATCCGTCTTTGAAGCAACGATCTTCTTTGGATGGAAAGAAAGCCTGCCAAATATTTACGATGTTCGAATTGAAAAGTACAGAATAGCATAGAAAATTTCGATACTTTTTGAATAATCGAGCGTTATTGTATTAAACTAAAAATGACCAACAAAAAAAAAACGAAGAGTTAAATGAAACACAAAAGATATAAATCGATTTGCTCAGGGGTATCTCTCGCCCGTCAATTTTTTTTTTTTTTGCATAATCGAGCGATATCATTTTACGAGATGTCCAATCACGCGATACGATCCGTTGCGGTGACAGCGGCGGTGTCAGGAGAAGTCGAAACTCTTGCACCACGTTGGGCGCCAACGATGGATAATTCGTGTCTGGACGTGTGTACGGGACATGGATCTACAATCTCAGGTCTACAGACGTTCGTGTTTACAGTCAACAGTTAAACGTTGATGAGCGTGTTGTACTTACCTTCCCTCTGCGTGGGTGCCACCGCAGTCATCGGCTGAGGAATAGCCTGAGGAAACTGGCCGTAGACGGCGGGGTAAGCTGCGACAATAACAAATAACAAGTACATCATGAACTGTCCACATCTAGATCTGTGCGTGCCATTGCCTATCCCGTTCCCCCACATAAACCCCCTTTTTTTGTCCTTTTCCCAGTCCGTACTGCGATCCGCTGTCGACCGTCGACGGTAAGAGCCAGCGACAGCGCGGCGGTATAGCCGCCGAACGAATATAGGCGTCGTAATTCAATGCAGCGATAGCGCATACATAATGGACGATGACAGTAATAAAAGCCGAACAGTCCAATAAACGTCAACAGATTCAACAGAAATTGCGTTGCCATCGCTAGACAGATTACAATGGCGTAATTTATGACCATGCGTATCAGAAACGTCGCGGGGACACGTATAAATCGGACGCGGCTATTTATTCTTGCGATTTGCCGAAGATTCGTCACGAGCGGGAAAGGTTAAAGCATCAAGAGGATATTAAACGTAAAGAACGCGAGGACACACTTCTGCGCCATTCTGGGAAGCATGAGATGCAATTCGAATTATGCGAGGCATTCCGCTTCTCGATATTAATGACAGATTCTGTGATCGCCTTGGAATGACAAGTCTCTTGAGAATTGAGCTTTTTGTGAACTTTAATTTAGATAACATTGAATTTGAGTCAATTTTATTATTTATTCGAAAAGGTTACATCGCTCTAGATTCGTGATTATCAAGTGCGTTCGAGATACGAGAAATGCTGATGAATATAACAAACGCTGATCTCCGGCAAAATTTTCTCTGCAAAACTGTTATTTCTGAAAGATCCCGCGCATAATCTTATCGTTAATGCGAAATATGGAAATCGTGCTTCTAGCCGAGTGGCCTGTTTGGCCTGTAAAAGTGAGCGGTGTGGAAGCGACTCGCTGATACGAAAGCTCGTCTCGTACAGGCGATTCCAGGCGGCATTCATCACGGCGTTTCTGCCGACAAGGGTATTCGTCTCTCAACGTTCTCACCGTACCGCGCGACTTTCAACACGATACTTTTGTACGCGGAACCGTCGCAGCCTGCGAAAATGCAGCGTTGCATCCGTAGCGTCATTAGCCGACACCAGATATTTCTTCAAAGCCGATTCTTGAAACGACGTGCCTCATTAAAATGGGATACGAGAGACCTTCTTAGCGCAATGATGTAGCAAAAGTCGTCTATATGCACGACTGTACAGAATATCCCGTTGCAATTTGCGAAATTAAATATTTAAGCAATTGAGGAAGAAACGTCCCGAGACAAACAACGTTAAAACGGAAGATTTCGCAGAGAGGACATACGATTCGTACGGAATAAGATTCTGCGAAATTGAAGAGACATTATCGTAAAAGCGTTTGTTTAATATCATATTACAACGAATCGACGGGAGATCTCATTATAACGAGCTTTTTGTTACGACGAGATTTTATAACGTCTCTCGTATTAATGTTGACACCGTCAATAGATTAACGATTATTCGATGTAATGAAATTCTAAGATAACAAAATTGTATTTAAAAGCGTTTAATAAAACTTGCCGTAATATAATATTTAACGAAATCGGAGGAAAAAAACGGCCGTATAGAATCAATAGGTATCGATATCACTTCTGATCAACGAGAATCGAAATGCGAAATATTTCACGTTAAACAGAAGTGCTAGTGATATTTTAATTCGTAATGCGATCTCTGTACGTATGACGACAATTGGTTATAGTCTGTAAATTTGGACCTCGCGATAAACGCGCGAGCCTCTATTATGTACCGTTCGCTACACGCGACGTGGCAGAAAGCAAGTACGTCGTTATTAATTATAGCTTGATAAATATTTAAAATGCTCGTGATTGATACCTGTTTGTGACGGATAGGCGGAGCGTGCGCGCGAGTTACGCTCTCAGATCGGCAGAGGCGAATTTTCGCCCCGGAATTAATTATTTCCGTGCAAACATCGCTTTAATATATTCCGATTGACGTTACCCGAGGCCCCTCTCCCCCTTCCTCCCCCTCCCCTCCCCTCGCCCGCCCCGCCCGGTGCGCGATGGATCAACGTTTGGCGTATGAAATAAATACGCCATCATACGTCGGGGCCGCGTCACGCTCAGATAGAGGTACACCGTTATTCCGGGATTGCTTTTTTTCCACTCGCTGATCTCGATGGCGTATGTGTACTCTGGCCGAAAATACATAGAAAAAAATATACCGCTTTTGAGTCCTCGGTAAATACGGACCGACCGGCGCGCTCGCGTACGCGATCCTGGTACGTTTGTTATGACTCGAATTTGTTGAATTTCCGCCGATACGCTCGAGGTACATGTGAGAGACACGAAGGCGGATTGATCGCTGACACGGATGAGAATAAATGATATCCCCTTTCTTCCGGTTATTCGCGTTATTGTACTTCCGATAAGTGAACAACGCGGTATATATCCGAACGAATGGCGTAAACGCGGAATTTGCTAAACGTCCTCTCCCATCCCCCTTCCTCCCGTTGTCGAGAGTGATTGGAATGTAATAGAAGTATAGGTCCATCGAGACGCTGATTATCCGTGAAACGAGATCATCCATTTTGTGTGCCGGGGTTTATCGGATCATAATTTGCACCAATGCGCTGCACTTTGACGCTGCAACGTCGACGGTCGACGGCGAATAATTCGCCATTGGCGTTGGTGAGGGAGCATGCACGAGAGGAGACGTGTAAACGTGTAAAACTACAATATAATATGTACACGAAGTACATTTAGAAGGACATCGAAGTACATCGTAGCACCACAGCAGAAGCAGTATAGTTGACGCGTACACGATCACGTATGACGTGTACATGTACGGTGTGTATACGCATGCGACCATAGTTGCATGCAAACAACCAGCAACGCGATCAGCGAAATCGAATTTTTTCGCAGGTAAGTGCTCCGACGGCACCCGGATAAAAGCACGTAAACGTTGGACGTTTTCTCTGATGTATTTTTTCCTTTACATACAGAGACAATCACCGAGCCATCTCATGGCCACGCGCGTTTTTCGACCCGCTCAAGATCGCGATAGGCAACATCCGGGCGAGATGAGTACTCAAAGTGTCATCTAGCGCGTGCTAAAACTGATGCCGCGAACGTCGCGATAATGCAAAACGTTACGATAATACGAAACGACAACGCTAAAATACACATTCATGAATTAATTTTGGGTTTATAGAGAAAAAAAACTTGCGATCTTCTCTCTCTGTTTGTTGTAATTCCGTTTGTAAAGAATAATACTGTATGTGAAAATGTAATTTATATTTAATAATTTATCTTTTATGAATAAAAATATAAATCAAAAGTTTTATATAAGAAGATTTGAATAATTTTTTTATGATACATTTGTACAGTAATTTACAATTACGATTGGCATTAAATGGTGATAAATACTATCATCATCGGTTACGTGAAATTATTTGTTTAATTCCAAATACATTCGACGGAGACGAACGATAGACAAATGTATCCGTCTCACGTTGCATCTACTTTTACTTCGATAATACCCATCAGTCTGCTTGGGTGGAGCTGGATGGATGAAACGCGCTACAGTCATTGCATGGAAGACAGGGTAGACAGCACCTTGACAAGCCGTAGAGATAAAAATTGAAGCTGGGGAAACACTTACCGGCCACTCCAGCATAAGCCTGCATTCCAGGATACGCGGCGGCATGCTGAAGTGCCGCCTCCCCGTTGGCTAACCCCTGCGCTGGAATGGACAGATGGAGGGCATCTACACTTCAGTAAGCTCAGCTCTTATCGGGGAGGAGGGCCTAGCCTAGAGGCCCCTGTCGCAATACCCAGTAGGCCAATCAATACCGCTCGATATTTCCACCGGCTATATACTCAACTAGTAATAACTACCCGAAAGGACGAAGACTAATGAAGGATTGACTATAAGAATGATTATACGCGAGAAATTCATTGCTCTTGCAATACGTAAAGTCCCGATTTAAATAACATATATCAAAGATTTATCAACGTTGTACCGTGGTTTAACTTGATCAATATTAGGACGACTATTTTTATCGTTAATTTACCAATGCATCTTGTCGAACGTAAAGATCAAGGTCCAGTTCTGGAGGTCTGAAAGACCTCGAGAATAATCGTAAAATATATGGAAAAAGAAAGGATCTCAATAAATGTTTACTTACTAACACTTACACATTTACTTATTACAAGTTTAATTGTTCATTACTAGAACTGAGTCACTCTTGCGTAAATGTAAATCTTGCGCTTAGCAAGAGCCTGTGAAGCTCCACGTTGGTGCTAAGTCTTCCGCATATGGACCCCGTGTCGTCATTAATTTCAGCTCTCCTCGCAAATAAACGCCAACGAATGTAACGGCGCTTTCTCACCGAAGTACGAGAAAGTATGACGTGCGAGTACCGCCCGGCGTACTTGGCATGGTACTTGGCCTGCGCGAAGTTATTTACATCCCCGTAGAATAATAAAGTCCGTTGCCGATTGGCCGGGTATTGCGCAGGGGCGGCACGCTGCGCCTGAGTTGATACTCACGTCCCGCATAAGTCTGCGGTATTCCGTTGGTGTAGACACCTGGATCCGAGCCTGCTGGCTGGCCGTTCGGCGTTTGAGCAGCCATGTTAAAATTGGGCATCGTTGGCGATGGTAACGACGGTAGTGCTCCGTTAACCGGTTGCCCTGTGCCGGTACCTACGAGCAAACCTGATCAGTACACCCTGGTTACCCTTTTGCACTTTCAACACCAACCACGATTGTCCTTTCTACGAAGCATCTAATCGGAACGCAAAATCTAATTTCTTCCTCTATTCTTTTTTTTTTTTTTTTTCATTTTTCCTCTGCGATAAATATAACATAATTGATCGGTTGTGGGAAAAGATCGTTAGTGATCCGTATGTAATGATCGTAAAGCGTTTGAACTAGGTATCGAGAATACTACGAATCGTTAGGTTGCCGATTTCATAATCAGAACCGTACACCGAATTAATGTCGTAGAACTGTCGATTCGGTCAAAGAGATACGTTTAACTTTTTTTTCTCTTTCTCTTTGTACGCTTTGTGCATTATTCTTGCAATACAATACTACTGTAACTATATGCTTGTTCTTGAATTACGATTTTAGTTTCCGCGGAAAGGTCGTGTTTATCGATAATAGTTTGCTTCCCCTGTCTGTGTCAACGATACGATTCGGATCAGCGATCAAAGCTTTGCGTTGCGCTAATAACGCATTGATCGCGCCGGTGACCAATGTTTGGTATCACGTCAATATGACTCGGTGTAGGTAATGAGACATAATTATGTTTGGGCAACATCTGTTATTTCTATCGAGTTAGCACGTGACTAGGGGAAATATGCAGTCAAGGGCACATAATAATATCGGCGGGTTTATGATTTAATCGATCGCAACCTTTTGATATTACAAGCATGATTCTCATTTATTTTCATTACGAAATAAATTCAAACTCTGCGTAACATAATTACTGACTGTCTGCTGAATCTGTAAAACCTATTTAATTTATATTAATTAAAAAGTACCAATTAATCTCAAGGAACCAAAATAACTTGTGCAGAAAAGAATTAATTCTAACTCTTAAACGCCACACTACATAAACAACACACTTGGGTATAATCAATAATTTAATTATGAAATATGTTTTCATAAAAATGAAAATATTATAAATAATATAAAAAAATTATAAATGTTTTTATTATTAAATTGAAGAACATAATAGCACTAGGCAAAAATATTACTTAATATTACTAATAAAATATTATTAATAAAAATATTACTTAAGCAAAAATAGTACTTTTATTAATAAAATTTATGAATTTAATAATAAAAAAGTTATAAGTAATGGAAAAAAAATTACAAAATATTGGAAAAAATCAGATACTGGGAAAGTGTTTATAAAAGCTAAGTATGTACATACATTTCAACAAAAATATTCCAAATGCAAATGTAACGTAAAGAAAATTGAATTATTTGACATTTTTGACAAAAAAAAAATATAATTGAATGTGTCCAGTTAGTAATAGAAGAGTTAAAAAACATCATAGTTTGCTCTTAAAGAGAGGTAAGTACCGATACATTTGAATCGAATCTGCGAAAGATGAGAGATCAGGACGGAGAAGAATCTCGATGCCTCGATAACACTCGGATTACGTTGCATGCACTTGCATCGCCGCTCGTAGTCGGTTATGTGCATTGGATATGACGATACGTCGTAAACTTAAACTCCCGTGACTGTACGATACACGTCTCGGTATTGTCGATTTGGTTAGATAGGTCAAGCGATTTCTATACAAGGTGAGACTTATAGCGATTATGAGAGCACCGTTCGATACCATAAAATACATCGCGCGCGAGATCAAAGTTCTTTCATTAAACTTTGCATGATATGAATTCCATAAAACTATGATGAAGCTGCACGGAAAAAACGATTTTGCCAAAGTATCTAAAAATTTAGCTAGACACAGTTCTGCAAATAATGTTATTGAACTAAATAATTATATATATAGACGTCCAAACTGGTTGTTAGAATACCAAAACTTTATAACATTATTCATAATGCTTCACTGTTAAATCTATAGTGTCAAATTTAACCTAACGTGAGTCGCCACTGCTCCTAAATTATATTATTATTTTATATTAAAACTATGGTTATATTTGACATTATAAAGTGTCAAATTAACATGATCTAGTGTTAAATTTAATTATCGTTTTCGTATAAAATGATATATTTAGTAGGAGCAGTGGCGACTCACATTAAGTTAAATTTAACGTTATGAATTTAACAATATTGAGCATTTTACATATAATTATTTTATATAATGATCTAAATTGGCCAAATTAGTTTCAGACCTGTACTCTCTAAATTTGAATTAGTGGATAATCACTGATGTCAGTTCAAAGTAATCAGTACGGTAATAAATGAAAGTGAATTCACAATGAAATTAAACAAAAAAAAAAATCAATAAAACATGTAATCCTAACTTGGTTAATTTTGCTTTAACATATAAATTCAGTGTATAATATATGGTATTGAAACCGACGTGTAAATATACATATTTACACGTAAAAAAAACCCTATAAAATAAAAATACCCATGGGTATTTTAATCATGTAATGCTTAAAAAAAACTTTCTTTTCTTTCAGTTAAATTTCACTAATTTATTCAGCTCAACTTTTAAATACTTCAGCACAAAATCGCTTTTTTCGTATGTACATTTCAAGCGTATATCTAAACAGTTAGAAGTACTACTTTAACTGAATTAATTTTATTTTGAATTCCATATTATTGACGACTTTTAGTCCACGCAACGATTTGAAATACACGCGATTATTGGTAGGATTACGGTTGCAGAACGATTCCCGAGCACGCAGCTCTACCTGCCAATGCCATCCTGTATACACGCTGCAGTTTGCGGTTACGCTGTCGTTTCGTTGAAAATAAAAGCTCGCTGGTACGGTAATCTTCAGTGCGGAGTAAAGCGGACGGACGCGGCGAAGCTAGGGGGTTCGGTGGAGAAATAAAATATTATTTCCCTATCAAACGGTATTACCTTCCGCTCGACGAGACTCGACGTATAACGGAGCCGATTTCCGCGCTTACTTTACTTCTCTACAGCACTTCGACCTCTCCCGCTGTTTCTTGCATTGCCATACCGAGTGAGAAGGAAAACGAAAAAGAAAGGTGTGAGCAAAGAAGAGGCAAGGAAGAGGCGTTTCTTTAGCTTCCTTCTTCTTCTACAACGAGCTTTCGATAAAGTTTCGCGGTACCAGCAATATCTCTCGCTTGAGTCACGTTCGATGAAAATGTTGTATTGATTTACGAGTCGGTTATAAGGCAACCGACTGCACGCCTCGTCTGTCGCGAGAATCCAGAGAAACTATAGAGAAGCAGACCAGAAAGAAAGAGCGACCGGACGGGAGATATGTTTTATATCACTAAAATAGAACGGCTATCGAGTTGATGGCGGATAATTCGTGCGCTCTCGAGTATTTCTTTCCTTTTCCGTAAAATGCACGTTTTATCGGATTGGTACTCTTAACTTGGAATTGATTAAATTAAATTAAAAATATTTTCCCACGTATAATCTTCAAAAATTGTCATTAAAATCATATATATGATATTTTACCGATGTTAACAAGATATAGATTTTGTATTAACTCAACAACCGAATAATCATTTCCTGATTAAACGAGAATACTGTGTAATCAATAAATATGCCAACAATATAAAAAAAAAAGAATATTACTTAGAAGAAGATACTCGCGAGAAAAGATTGTAAACAGTTTATAACAGCTATATATAAATATTCTTAGGTATAACAAAAGTTTGTATGAAAAAGTTTAACTGAATTTCTTGAAGAATACATAATATTTTGCAGAGGAGACAAATGAGTTCTTTTCTCACGAATATTTGCACGTCTCGTGAGGTATTCTAATTCTCTTAGTCGGGTATTTTTACCAGAGGTTGGTGGAACCACAGGATTTGGCATGCCATTCAATGAATGCGGTAACTGTCCAGCCAACGCAGTCATTGGATTGATGTACGTCCCTTGTGCAGTCGCTGCTGCCATAAGCGCCGCTTGCTGCTACAATACAAAGAAAATATCATTGTCAGAAGAAACATTTTCTCTCAAATTATGTATTCTTCTTTATCGTTATTTTTAAAAGTTACTTAAAAAAAAACACATGATTTTGAAGAATTTCTTCATTTGTGAAATCGAAAAGGTTATCCCTTTTGTTAAGAAAAACTTTATCTAAATTTAATGAAAATGGCAGTATGCCTGAAACATCATCAAATGAATATTTATATTACATCACGAATATGTGTTATAAATAGAAAAATTTCAAAACACCATTTATCTTTTACTGATTGCAAACCTAGGAAAAATTAAACCGCGAAAGGTGATTATAAGGGACCTCTTTGCGTGCCAGCGTTAACGCGATGGCATCGAGTTTCGGCCGATCATTTCCGAGAGTAACGAGGGACGAACCATCGCAGATTGTGAGTCGTGGTAACGAGGACAACAAGGCGGTAATGCGGTAACGCGAGAGCCATTAATGGTAATACGACCCACCTGAGCATAAGCGTTGTAAGCGCCGAAATGATTGAAGAAGGGGTTAAGGATGCTCATGTTCCCGGCCATTTGCTGCATGCGTCTTATCTGTCTCTCTTTATCAGTGTCTGCGAATTTTACCACTATACTGGATGACGCACCCTGCAACAGATAATACATATTGTTGATTTCTCGCTTTTATAACGTAGAAATTTTTACAGTACAACGCAATTTTATGATATACGAGAACTACAGTGTACATTTTAACGACCTCCTCAACGAGCTTTATCATTTATAGCATGTGTTATGACCAACGTACGGGAAAACTGTTTTAATTGGGCTTTTATAAGAAAAAAAATAATTAAAGATTTTTATACTGCTCTCTATATTTTATAATAATGTCTAACACTCTTTTATTTGACAGATAGAGTAGAATTTAAATCAATTTCTCGTAAGTTTGATTAATATAGAAACTGTCGAATAATTAGAAACCGCATGAAGCTTTTCTACGCATTTTTCTCGATTATTAATTTTATTAAAAATTAATAATTGTATAGCTATAGTTGTCGAAAAAATATATAATGTAATGTAATATATCGAATCTGTCGCACGAGAAGCAAAAAATGGTATCTTATATATACTCTCTCTATAGACGTGAAGGAGCACAGATGTATGTAGGTGCAAAATGTACGAGACGAATAAGTGATTCAAGATCCTTTTGCATTAAAAAAAGACCTTCTCTCTCTCGAGATGCTCGCGAGGATATGTAAGGCGATGACGTTCTCACGATATCTAAAATATAAATGGAAAGGGGCAACAGGTGGTCAGTGGCCATTGTAGCTGCGGAGAAAAGCTCGGCATTCGAGCTCCCGGTGATACATTATATTCACCGTCATCAATGCAAATGCTGGCTGGGCGTTCCTGAGTTTATATAACGTTTGTAGTGTTATAACTCGCGTAACGAGACTTCCAGCTTTGGTCACGCGACTTTGCATGGCGCACTTCATTGTGTGCTTTACTCGCGTGCATTTCTCTTCTCACTTTTTTCTACGTAGCTTTCAGGCTTTGTTTCAACGTCTCTCTTCGGAGATGTGATCGCAATAAAAAAATGTAATCTATTTGTGAAAATATTTATATAATTAATTCTTCCCAATTAATTCATATAACTTTTATGACTTTGTTAGATATAACTTCGATGTTGATACAACGTTTATTGGTTTTGTCTCGATTTATGCATTGACATTAAATCGATACTGTCATGATGAATAATCTCTTATATGCAAAAATCTCATGTCGCACACAGAAATTGATAACAATATAACAAGAAACTAATTTCATACGAAATTGTGTCGATCATGTTAAAAATAAATTCACTACATAAAAAATGCATTTATTTCCTGAAAACTCTTACAGTAATCAACCCTTACATTATATATATTATATTATATATGCAGAAAACTCGTTAATTAAACTATAAACTCGTATAATAATGCTAGTATGCTGATTAAATTAAATTGTTCAATAACATATTATTAAAATTTAAATCAATTAAAAATAGATAAAGGATGCAGGATATTAAATAATATTAAAAAATGTTAGATATGTTCTACAAGCTAGATCCATTAAAAAAAATAATTTAATTTAATTAGTTAATTAAAGATGCATAAAAAGTTGCGTGTATAAAATCCTTGAAATTATCCGTCGTTTCAGGTAGATCTTACCATACATGAAATAAAAATAACATAGACAATGAAATGAAAAAAGGAAAAATTTGATCTCTAACGTGACTGTTATTATATTGATAACAATTGGAGCGTATATCGATAATCAGTCGACTGTCTTCACCCTGCGGCAATTCTCGACAAAAGGCTCGGGGCCGTGGGCCGTTATTCATCAGCGAAGCGCATACGCTGGTCGATGCAATTGCTTGTAATTTAACGACGAGGACACCGTCAGAGTCGGACCGGTAACGCGATATATCCGCTTGACAGATTTCCACGGAACGTCACCTTGTGATACATCGTGTTCCGTTCCTATTAGATCGATCGAGACGTCGCTTCGGTGATTTCAAAGACAATCCCGACGAAACGTTTTCAACGTGTGCATGCGACCTGGCACTCGCGGCAGTGCACCCTGACATTTTCGTTGTAATGCATGTGCTACTACCTACTCGTCGAGGTACGTACCTATGTGCGTTAAATGCTCGCCTCTAAAACGAAAGAGAGGGCGATTTTGTGCGACGCCAATCGACGCTGTCAGAAACACTCACTCGTGTCGCCCGCGCCGAATTTTGCTTTCATTATTTTTACTTTTTTTCCTACGTCGTTTTTGACCCGAATGGGCGTTGACGTGGCAAACAAAATCACGTTCAACGAACAGCTTTTAGAAAAAAAGCTCTCCTACTGTTGTATTCTCGACTATTGTATCCTCGTAGATTTCGTCTACGAGTATAATGCGAGAGAACCTTCTCGCTCTCATGTAGGAACGAACGTAGCTTTCGTTAATTTTCAGAATATTTTACATGAGCGAGGATGAGTCAAACAAAGACGAGCAAGGACGAACGTTCATGTCTCGCGTTTTGAAATATGCGTACCTTTAAATTCGGAGATACAGCGTTATAACCAAAGATCTAGAGCATGGACTGCGTCATCCATGTGTAAAATTGATCGACGAAAATAAGAGAGATAGGACGCAAAGACGTCAGTCTCTATCTCTTTTTATTCAATTAATCACATAATAGCTTAGAAAGAGAAGATGGGCCATTTTCCCATCTCTCATTTTTATCGCGATCAATTTTACACATTTGACCACATTTGATGTACTATTTAGATACGGAGTTCATACTCCGTGTTTGATTTTAACGAGCTTCGAGTCGATAATACGCAGGTACAAGGTCGAAGATTCGAGAGATTACTGTATAACTTCCTACGCGAGATCGCGGTCGAAAATCACCATTTGTCTTTTTAATCCGCGGTTTCATCTTTGGCAACGCAAATACCAAATACGGCGTATTTGGTATTTGAGAGCGCTGAAGAGTTTGCGCTACACACGTGCACCTCGATTATTAAAAGTTCCGTTTGCGGTCGGAGCTCGAACGAGGTCAAACGCGCGTATAACCGCGAGCGTCGCGAGAAAATCAGCGACGAGCTTGCCGTATACAAAGTCGTAAAAGTTTCCGGGAGTGGATGTAACTTTCCGTGTTACTGTAACTACAACTAATATTGGGAGTTTTGTGTGATACTCCTCCCTTTTTGCTTCTCAGCTGTACGCCTCTGCGTTACTCCAAGGCTTTACAAGAAGCAAAACTGTGAAACGTTAAGATAACTTTATGTTCTTTAAATGCTTTGTTTGTTTTCGATATTGCAATATTGAATCTGTGTCTAAAATCTACCAATTTCCCAAATCATTTAATAAACAATCATTTAAATAAAAAACTTCGTAATATTTTACTCAAATATGTTCAAGGTTTTAAATATTTTTTGTAGTCTCTTGAACAGAGTAATAAAAAAATATACGATACATCAAAGAAGTTTTGCCTCTTCCTTGTATACATATAAATTTCATTCTTTTCTCAGTTGTAATTTTGTCATATCTAAAAGAACCAAGAGAGCTCTAAACTCGCGTCCCCTTCGCAAGAACGAATCCACTTAACTTTCGTTAAAAACAATGAGATTGTCATGTTGGAAGTTTATATATTTCTTCTTTTCACAGATAGTTCGTCGAAACACTTTCGTTGAAAGTTATAATTGTAATGATTATAAAAATCCTCATATAGCATATGAAGAATACTTCCAAGCTAATTGCAAAACTTTTCAGTTCATCGAGCACACATCGCACGCTCCAAATATTAATGAGTTCGAGGTCAGCGTTGACGCAAATAAAAAAAAAACGACAAAAAATTGGAAACGTCGAATTTCCAAGTAGATGTGTCTCCATGGCGTGTGTCTATCCACGCACGTGTTACATCCTTTCGTGTGAGAAAAATCGTCGAGCCGCTTGTTGGTTACACGCCGCTGGCGAAGCGTCATCGACGCGTGCACGTCTGAAAGATAATTTGTCTCGCGTCGACAGTCTCGAGCTTCGAAGCCTTGTGCGCTACGCAGGTGTAACGTAGGTGCCCATAAGGTGTATGTGACATTTACGCGAGCACATATGTACGCCGGTGCGCACGTGTATGGCATAGAGAAGATGAGACTAGAACGGGGCGAGAGACGCGGTCGGGGTTGCAAGGGGAGGCTCGACGAGGTCGTATCGGAGCCAGTGAAGCTGAAGCCTCATTATTGGGGGATTACGGTTCATTAATTCCGATCCAACGTTCTGAACTGCACGCGGAAAGGAAAAGCCGTCCTCCCGAGAGTCGGGGGGTATCATGCGAAGAACGTTTGAAGCCGCCGCCACCACCACCACGCTTCCCCTTGTTCGTTATGTCTGTTCTACGTGTCGTCCCCCATTAAAGTTGCCCCTTTAAAAATGTCGATATTAAGCCGTGCGCTTTTTCTTCCATTATGATTTCGTGAGCCGACATACGATACGTGGGGATTCTGCGTTTGATGTTTCATCTATGTATGCCGTTATCTGGTCGATTTCGGATTTGTCACCCTTATGCCTTTAGGGCTAAAAGGATACATTGACGATTGATGCTCTTTATATTCGTACCCATTGATGTCTCTAATTTTCTCTCGGCTGTTTCTCATTAACCGACCATTGATCAATCGAAAGCTCTAAAATAAAATAAATTGGTAAAATCTCTGCCACAAGTACTTAGAGGAACATCTCAGCGTAGGAGCTTAGTTTAGAGGACCACAATATTGAGCAGGCCTTGCCAACGGAATGAAGCAATTACCTGCTGATTGGAGGCTCTCACGTTAGCCACACCATCACACTTGCCAATCCGTTGGACGGTAATTTCAATAGATTCAACTGGAACCACAAGACTGACCGGAACGCGGATTGCCCCTCGTCTGTGATTCTCTATCAAATCGAAATACAGAAGCGAGCGATTTAATTCGCCGATGTGTCGCAAATTACAAATCGCTTCTGTTCAATCATTCAATCGATCCTTTTAAATGTCGATAGAAGATAACTAATTGGAAAACACACCGTTACAGGTAAAACTTGAAATCTGTTAAAATTATCAAAATAGTACGGACAGATTTAAAGCA